TCCATCAAAATCAAAATCAAGAACCCCTCAAAGATAACAAAAGGAACTTCCTTTATCACCTCACCGAAAGTAAACTTAATAATTCGTGTGACAATGTGTAATTATAGGAACTGATTTAACAATTAGCAAAAACTATAGACATTTGACAGATTTTGGTGTTTCTTGCAAAATATGGGACCACGTGTATGGAAGAATCAAGAATCGGTGCCCACTCTCCCCAGAAAATCACTGTGTGATTGAGAAATCTAGAGATAGATGTTAAATAGTGATCAATCATAGTGTTTAAGCTTTGACAATTTGAGAGAAAAAAAACACTTGAAATTTTGTCGAGAAAGTGAAGGATGAGAGGAGAAAATCAATGGAAAAAGAACAAAAATTCTGATTACAAAAACAAAACACTTTTTTCTCTGTTTGAAGCAAATGAGATGGTTCTGACGAAGAATCCAAAAAGGCAAATCTGTCGGTTACTCTACCGACTTGTATCTCTCTCGTGACACAGACTCGTTTTTAAGCGAAATCAAATTTAGTAATTTTTTCAATGCAAAATCCTCAAAAATTACCAGAAAACCCAAAATAGGAATCGGAAGTCGTAACGAGATTCGGTAGTTTTCTTCTATCAACGATCAAACCCAAAACAAAACCGTTATTTAGCTTTTTTTTTTTTTTGTTCCTAACTCATCAAATCTCAGATCGGAGTGATAAATAAAATTTCCATACCCAAATACTAACTTTAGGGTTCTTCCGATTTTCGATAGAAATCCAAAATTGGGATTGATTACACCAAATGCGAAGCTTAATCTTAGAGATCTGATGAATCTGAATGTTGCTAATTAGGAAATTTTACCAGGAACGATGATTTCCACCACAAAATTGCAATCTCGTGATTCTTCTCTTCGCGAAATCTTTCTACGCCCTTTGAGATCGAAAATGAGGAATACGAACGCGATCGGAGTTATTAAATTAATCTTTCGTCGGCGATGAAGAAATGCCGGGGATAGAATTGATCGGGCGATTTAAGGATGGGTTCGGGATCAAAGAGAGAGAGAGAGGGCGTTATTTTCGCGCCACCTAATTTGATATTAAAGAGTCTTTTCTCTTCTCACAAATCAGGAAAAAAAACAAAGCTTTCGCTCGTAGAGGTCACTAGCAAGGAATCAAAGAGACTAAAAATATTGTACAAGATATTATTAAATTAGTATAAATTGTTTGAATTAATATAGTTTTGTGTGAAAGTCTTAATGGTGTAACCAAAAATTTATTAGTGTACTAAATCTAAAGTTTAATTTTGTAGATTAATGGAAACAAGTTTATAATGAACGTAATTCTTTAGAAACAGGTTATGCATCCGTCTAAATTTTTGTTTTTGAAGTAATTAAAGTTAATCTACTTAAATTCCTCCAAATCCAAAATATTTTGTTGATCTCATTAAACCAAAACTTAAATGATAGTTTGACATTTCTACCTTAATTTGATTTCACCACTCACATTATTTATATGTTTCCTTTATTTTGTAACTATAATTTTTTTTAGACTTAAAAATTCATGGCAACTCTACAACAATCCGGCGACTAAAGGGTATACAAGCTAGTATATCCCATGAAATTTTATTCCTCTCAGAAACAAAAAACTTGGAT